CTCCTTTGAAGTCAGCATTTTTGTGCCTTTACATAGCTTTACTATAAAGTCTACTTCTTATTTGTTCACAGATCAGAAGGTGTGGGCTTTCAGCGGCTATGATCTTGTAAGTGGCTATCCTAAACCAATATCCAGCTTTGGTCTGCCCAAAACAGTGAAGAGAGTTGATGCGGCCCTCTATGACGAACAAAGTGGGAAGACTCTGTTCTTTGTAGGCAGTGAATACTACAGGTGTGTTCCACTAAGACCTGAGAAAATTAGGCAACTGATTTTCATACAGCAGCTTACAAGTTGTATTACAAATGTTAGATGAATCTAAATACATTTTTCTTTTCCCAGTTATAATGAGGCCACAAAGAAGATGGATAAGGGATTCCCCAAACAGGTGGATGAGACCTTCTTGGGAATGACCTCCAAAGTGACTGCAGCTCTGCAGCAAGGAGGTGAGCAGCAATTCAGGCTTGAAGACCACTGAAACGAGACAATGATATCTGTTTTTGATATTTCTGTTTTTATCTTTTGAGTTTACGTGTAATGAATGATTGCTATTTTAACATGTTTAAAAATACCTCTGGTCTGTTATGCAGCACTAACATGTAGCATCTCTGTTCTGCAGGGTACACCTACCTCTACAGTGGACCACAAATGTTTGAGTATGCCATGTGGAGTGGGAGGCTGTACCGTGTGCTGAGGAACAGCTACTTCTTGCCCTGCACCAAATACTAGAGAAGATTTTGAATGCTAAATAAGACACAGTAAAAAAAAGAAAAAAAAGAAAGAAGAGTAACTGTGTCAATATATTTTTGGATATTTAATTTTATTGTTAAAAAGTTAACAGCAGCGTATGTACTTAATACTGTTATTGTTATGTTAACTTTATTAAGCTTTACCATCACTTTTTATTTTGTTTTATTTATGTCACACTCATTATTTAATTTTTCCGCTCGCTAATTGTTGTTGTTGTGTTTTGACCTATTTATGTACACAAAAGGTCAAATGGAGTACAGTAAAAATAAATTGACATCCTCAATAAGCACATTTGAAATGTGTTACTGTTGTGTTACAATGTTACAACCATAGGTGGATAAAGTACACACACTGGTAACTTAAGTATAAGTACAGATCTTCCTGCAAAAGTTGAAGAACTGCTTCTTTACTCAAGTAATAGTATCGTATTTTTCGGACCATAAAGCGCACCGGATTATAAGGCGCATTTAGCAAACAAAGCAGTCATATAAGTCAAACTTTACTCAACTCATTCTTCTTGCTTCCTCCACTTCCGTACCATTGAATCATTAATACTGAATTCTGTCGCAGCTGCTCTATTCCCGTGTTGTTGCAGTATATTAAT